GGCACCTGCCTTCTCTCCAGAGGGTTCTGGTGCTTTGCTCACGGCAGCGGTGCTGGGATTCAGCCGTCATCAGAGGCACCTGTGCTTGTGGTGGTAACTCCATCTCAGTCTATGATCAGAGAGACAGTAACAAGGTTTTGGAGGTGGAGACACTAATCCAAACACACAACCTGTGGGAAGGTAGAGTGGTTACAGCCACTATGGAAAACAGCCTGGTGGTTCCTCCATGTTCAACACCAAGTCGCCACAAGTGTGCATGCAAGAGACATGCCAGCACACGTCCACGAGACGTGGACACGTGCTCACAGCCTCAGTCATGACAGCCACAATGGTGAAACAAGGCGGGTGGCTTTGGCTGAGGAAGGAGCAGGGAAACGTGGCCTCTGCAAAGCAGAATGGTACTCAGCCCTGGAGAGAAAGGACACCCTGACCATGAGCTCCACAATGTGGAGCCAACCGACAGGCCACACACAGATGCCACAGGCCAGACGCTTCCACTGACACAACATGCCCAGGACAGGCGCAGCCAGCGATGGAACAAGGAACCACAGATTCCGCGCCAGGACAGGCTGCAGACGGGAAACGGGAGGATTACAGGGCGCAGGTGCCCATTTAGGGAGATAAAAATGTTCTAAAATTGACTGTGGTGATGATTGCACAACTCTGCAAATCTACTAAAAACCACTGAATGGCACATTTTAAAATGGGTGAATTGTATGGTATTTGAATTATACCTCAATAAAGCTATTTTTAAAGAAACAAAATGTTAAATACATAAAAAACTGGGAACGTGAAATCTGGAATTAACATTCTAGGAAACATCTTCCTGGAGTTTTTTTTCTAAAGATATAAAATGGAATAAAATGTATGAATTTTACAAAGTATAAATAATATAAACGTAAGTATATCCATCTCACGATTCATTATACTACAAACGCATTTAAAATAGTATATATGTATGTCATAGAGAAGATACGAAATAGAAATATGGGTACATTTTTTTAAATAAAAGTGAGGTTATGTTCCCTGTGACACAGTCCGCTTTTTCCTTTCACATCAGGCCATGACCACTTTCCAAAGAGCAGATAAGACGCGGGGATCAGAGGACAGGCGTGTGCGTGGACAGTAGCCCCTGGTCCCCTCACCGTCCCCACGCTGTGTGACGGGAGCCGCACGGATGGGCACACTGGGAATGGAGATCTGCAGACCATCCCCGTGGAATCAACTCCTCCTAGGGCCTTCAGAACATAAAACCAAGGAACCCTCCAGAAGCCTGGATCGACATCCACCCCCAGCGTACTTCATCTTGTAAATATGTTTAAAGTTTGCTAACATGGTGGCAAAAAGCTGCTCAAATTTGAAATGTTTGACTCATTGGTGAGGTGGAATGTCCATCTTTTTATAAGCAGTTTTAAATCTCACTTTCTCCTGAAATGCCCTGGGCCTGTTTTCTATTAGAATGCCCATCTTCTCATGCTCAGGATTTAACCCACCGGGAACTTCTGAATGTGTGTTGCAACTTAAAAGATTATTTCACAACATTTAAGGGGTATCTTTTCTGAACTAAAAACAAACACCACTTGTTAACTGTCACCAGTGGGTGAGTATGGACACGTGACTGGTCAACTCTGAAATGAGCTCCAGCACATGGACACGCATCCCAGGACCTGCAGGAACAGAGGCTGTGAGGCCAGCCACATCCACCTCAACCACGTCACCTTGTGGGCAGGATGGCCCATGCCCCATGTCCTCCCAGCCCCACCCAGAACCCACGGTGAGAGCCCAGCAGGAAGTGGCCACAGCATCATCACCGGAGGCCACGTGGAGTCTGAGGATGGCAGCTTTTGCCCCATGGTTTTGTGGGGACCCCATGCTCAGCCTGAGGTTGGCAGCTTTCCCCCATGTTATCATGGGGACCCTGTGCTCAGCTTTCCCACGTTATCACAGGGACCCCGTGCTCAGGCTGAGGACGGCAGCTTTTCCCCCGTTATCACAGGGACCCCATGCTCAGCTTTCTCCCATGTTATCACAGGGACCCCAGGCTCAGCTTTCCCCCCATGTTATCATGGGGACCCCTGTGTTCAGCCCAAGGACGGTGGCTTTTCCCCTATGGTGTCTCGGGGACTCCATGCTCAGCCCGAAGACAGAGTTGGAGACAGAGGGTTGGTTCCCTCCAAGCAGCACCAACACTCCCAGGTGCACAGTCCAAGCCCACGGACAGTCGTTGGTCTCGGGGGAGCCCACCCATCTTCTCTCATCAGCAGGAAGGTTAGCACTTTCTCCTCCCTGGGCAGCAGAGTTTAATGCATATTCCAAAAGAAAAATGAAACTGGCTGAACGCTAAGGCATCCCCCATCCCCCATCCCCCATCCTGCCCAGCGCCCTGCGCGGGACAACCTCTTCTTTCTGAGGGCCACAAGGGGCCCAGGCCCCCCCGGCCCCCCCCCCCCCCCGCCATTGGCAACTTAACCTCGGGGTATCTCTCGGACAGGCTGGCTTTGTCTCGGGACGAGGTCAGCAGCAGCCAGATGCGGGATGAATGCCTGGCCCAGGCGGCCCCCACTCGCCGCCGGAGGGCTCCGGAACCCTCCTTCCAAGTCAAGAAAAAGTGTGGCCTGGGAGAACCGGACTTGCCTGAAACCCTGCCATGAGGCCTGAGGAAATTAAGGCTCACGGTAGCCTCTCCCTCTGCAGCAGGGACCCTGGCAGAGCCTCCTTCCCCTCAGTGATTTCTGGATCACAGAATCAAGTGAACTTTCATGGGGAAAAAATAAAAATCCTCCTGCAGAAAACACAGTTGACCTTTCAGTAGCAGCTCTGACAAGGGGAAACCAACTCAACTGAATTCCTCCTCCTCCTAGAGCCAGGAGAGAGGGCTCAGCTGGGACCCACAGAGAAACCCCGCCTTCTCCTCCCTGAGTCACTTCCCAGTATCTGCCTGAGGCTGGCGCTGCCCCAACCCGCCTGTGGCTGCTTCCACGGCATGATCATGAGAAAATAAACCTGGTTTCCCAGCTCTGTGCTCTGCTGCAAACTCAGGGTCCATTTCCCAAAACCTGGGGGCAGCTGGGAGCTGCCAGGGCTGTACCAGCCTCTAGGCAGAGGGTAGAGACTGCTGCGTGAGGAGGAACAAAACCCCACACTGGGTCTGCAAAGCAGCCCTGGGGTTCCCTCGCCAGCCTCTGGGCTGAGCTCTGCAGCTCCTGAGTCATTGCCTGACTCATCCTCAGAGGCACCCCAAAGAGAAGGGGCAACTCCGCCAGGGAATATGTTCTGTCTCCACAAAGGGCAGGAGGAAAAACACACCCATTGGAAGCACTCAGCCAGTGCGGGGCCACAGAGCCCACCCGCCGCCCAGCACTGCAGGACCACACGGTCCATGCTCCCAGAAGTAAGAGGCCAGAGGGTGGGGTCCATGGTCAGCTTATAGCCCACCCGCCACCCAGCACTGCAGGACCACACAGCCCAGGCTCCCAGAGGTCAGAGGCTGGAGGGTGGGGTCCACGGTCAGCTCATAGCCCACCCACGACCCAGCACTGCAGATCCCAGCGGAAGCCCCATACACACTGGGTTGCAGGGCCTCCTGTGGTTCAAGATGGGTGGGGTTGTTTATTTTGAAATGCTAAAGATGGGTGGGGTTGTTTATTTTGAAATGTTGGCCAATAGAGCTGAGTCTTCAAACTGAACCCAAAGACTCAGTGAGGAAAGCAGGGGGCTAGGTTGAGATTCACAGCTTCAGTGACCATGGTGAGTCACCTCACCTCCCGAGCCTCAGTCTCCCCATCTGTTCGGGCTCCCAGGAGCTGTGCCTGGGCTCACCCGCTCTGTAGCTGGCAAGCATGGTACACGCCACAAGCCACTGCATGCGCAGTGGCACCAGAATGCTGGGGCCTTGGCTCCTCCTCTCCTGCACATAAGGCTCTTTCCTCTCTCCCACCCCATAGCCCCCCAAAAAGAATAACAATCCTTACAAACAAATGAAAATAGGCTGGGTCTGAAGCAGTGACTCTCAGGAAAAGACACAGACACTGGGTCCCCTGCAGCAACTGAGACATCTCAAACCCCAAACCCACAGTGAAGCCTGGCAGGAAAAGGGGCTCACGAGGGAGGAGCCAGGGCAGGAGAATGGGGCTGCAGCTGAGGAGTGGGAGGCCACCAGGTGGGAGGAGGAGAGAGGAGAGAGGAGTGAGGAGGAGAGAGGAGGGAGGAGGGGGTCCTGGCCTTTGCTTCTCATGAGACCCTTAGTGCAGCCCCCGAGTCTCCCCGCAGTGGTCCAGCCACACCTCAGGGCCAGGAGGCTCCTCCAGGCACAGGCGGCAGATGAGCCCCTGCCTAGCCTGGGCCATGTGCAGTAGGGGCTCAGCACTCAGAGTAATGGCAAGCTCACGCTCTCCGCCAGCTGAGTTCCTGTGAAGCTGAGAGAACCCCCTGCATTCTGACACAGGCGTGCTCCTGAGTCATAATGACACGAAGGACACAGGCATGTGGGCAGAGGTGGAGATGTGGGGCCGGGCTTGTGGGTCATACAGACAGGACCAAGGGCTCTGACCTGCTGGCACATTTGGGACCAGCATTCCAGGACTGAGCAAACAGATCCCCCATGTGGGATGCCCTGGGCTGAGGACGGGTTCCCTACTCCAGCAGCTCTGCGATGTTCTGGGCTTCACGGAGTCTCCAGGGGCATCAAGCAAGTTTTTTCATTTTTTGAGATGGAGTCTTGCTCTGTCACCAGGCTGGAGTGCAATGATGCAATCTTGGCTCACTGCAATCTCCGCTTCCTGGGTTCAAGCGATTCTCCTGCCTCAGCCTCCCGAGTAGCTGGGACTACACACACACCACCACACCTGGCTAATTTTTGTATTTTTAAACAAGACGGGGTTTCACCATGTTGGTCAGGCTGGTCTTGATCTCTTGATCTCATGATCTACCACAGTCGGCCTCCCAAAGTGGTGGGATTACAGGCGTGAACCTCCACGCCCGACCCAAGTAGGGTTTTTTTAAAGCTCTAACTTGAGACAGAGCGAAAATAAATGTTCCAGGGAAAGTGACTCCTCTAAATCTCTTAATATCGAGGTGTTTCCTAATCAACAACTTGGTTTTTATTAAAAGCATCTGAGAGAATGAACAGTTGTCTCCCAAACCAACACCTTCCTCCTGCCCTTTCAGTTTCTAACCCCAAAGAACTTCTCGCCTCTTAAAAAACTTTGGAACTGTGGAGATATTTCTTGGTTTAGTCATTTCTACCATATAAACGTACTATTTTGGGGGTGATTTACATCTTGCAGTATGAATAGAAAGAAACCTTCCTGTCTTTGAAAACACCCGCTGCGTGCACAGGGGACGAGAAAGGGTTCCACCTGAAAGAGCCCCAAAGGACTGCCAAGGGAGGGTCCCTGGCGATGGCTGAGTCTGCCCAGGAGACCTAGCCCTCCTCGCTCGGCTCTACAAGACCCATCTGTTCCTTGACTTGTAACTTCTAACTGTTAAAAATGCAAATGAACAAAAACCCTCCCATAATTCCACTTCCCAGAAATAACCTTCACATTGACATTTCTGCCTACATATTCCAGCCACTCATGAATTCTTGAACAAAAGAACTTTACCTACAGACAGCTTTGTACCTAATGCATAAGCAGCTCTTCAGAGTAGGAGCTCAGGCTGTGGCACCTCCGGGTGAAGGAGGCAGCGGCACAGAAGCAGGCCACGCCCGCAGTTTCTTCCTGTTGTGGCCATGGCCCCTTCCCCCCCAGATGGGCATGCAAATGAACCCTGCAAAGAATGCGGGGGTTACTCCACAGAAACAGGGGGCCAGCGCTCCATGTGGGCCAGAGGGTTCTGCTCAACCTCAACCACAGCAGCAGGGGCTGGGGTTAGACCCAGAACCCTGAGGCAGCACCTTCCTGAGCCAGGACTGTCTGTGTGGACAGGGGCTTTAAGGAGAGGTCGGCCACACAGGCGCAGAGTGCTGCAGGCTGAGACAGACGACATTCCACCTCCTTACATGGATGGAGGGAAATGAGAACGCAATGCTTACAGAATGTTCTTGCAAACAACTGGACTAAACCCAGCAGGGAGCAATTTTAGGTTCTGTGAGTGTGATGCTGACTGCTCCTTCCTGCTGTTGTGTGTGACACCGACTGCTCCTTCCTGCTGTTGTGTGTGACGATGACTGCTCCTTCCGGCTGTTGTGTGACACCGACTGCTCCTTCCTGCTGTTGTGTGTGATGCTGACTGCTCCTTCCTGCTGTTGTGTGTGACACCGACTGCTCCTTCCTGCTGTTGTGTGTGATGCTGACTGCTCCTTCCTGTTGTGTGATGCCGACTACTCCTTCCTGCTGTTGTGTGTGTGACGCCAACTACTCCTTCCTGCTGTTGTGTGACGTCGACTGCTCCTTCCTGCTGTTGTGTGTGATGCCGACTGCTCCTTCCTGCTGTTGCATGATGCTGACTACTCCTTCCTGCTGTTGTATGTGATGCTGACTGCTCCTTCCTGTTGTGTGTGATGCTGACTGCTCCTTCCTGCTGTTGCATGATGCTAACTACTCCTTCCTGCTGTTGTGTGTGTGACGCTACTACTTCCTGCTGTTGTGTGACGCCGACTGCTCCTTCTTGCTGTTGTGTGATGCCGACGGCTCCTTCTTGCTGTTGTGTGTGACGCCGACGGCTCCTTCCTGCTGTTGTGATGCTGACTGTTCCTTCCTGCTGTTGTGTGTGACACCGACTGCTCCTTCCTGCTGTTGTGGCCCCGACTGCTCCTTCCTGCTGTTGCGTGTGACGCCGACTGCTCCTTCCTGCTGTTGCGTGTGACGCCGACTGCTCCTTCCTGCTGTTGCATGTGATGCCGACTGCTCCTTCCTGCTGTTGCGTGTGATGCCGACTGCTCCTTCCTGCTGTTGCGTGTGATGCCACTGCTCCTTCCTGCTGTTGCGTGTGATGCCGACTGCTCCTTCCTCCTGTTGTGTGTGATGCCGACTGCTCCTTCCTGCTGTTGTGTGACGCCGACTGCTCCTTCCTGCTGTTGTGTGTGATGCCAGCTGCTCCTTCCTGCTGTTGTGTGACGCCAACTGCTCCTTCCTGCTGTTGTGCGTGATGCCGACTGCTCCTTCCTGCTGTTGTGTGTGACGCCGGCTGCTCCTTCCTGCTGTTGTGTGACGCCGACTGCTCCTTCCTGCCATTGTGCGTGACGCCACTGCTCCTTCCTGCTGTTGTGACGTCGACAGCTCCTTCCTGCTATTGTGTGATGCCGACAGCTCCTTCCTGCTGTTGTGTGTGATGCTGACTGCAATTTCCTGCTGGATGACCCTGTGATTTCCACCACAGCACCGCTGTGGGAAGGAGGATCCATCTCTTTGTTTTAGGGTTGGGGCAATGGCCCATGGGAGGTCCCAGGGTGGGAAGCTACTTCCCGAGCCCTAGCCCTGCCAATCCAATTTCAGGGATACTTTCGGTTTAAGTAAAGAAACAAATAGTGGGCTGCCCTTTAAATGATTAAAAATGATTGCTCTAAAGGTATGGAATGTGAACAAAGTTCACTCTCAACATCAGGAAAATATTTTCCTAGTGGGACAGAAACTGCCAAAATCACTTTCTCAGAGAAGGGCCAAGGCCAGAGAGGAAGGGCTCATTCCCCGAAATGAGTCCACTTGGATGCATTCTGCAGTTAAACCTGTGACTGGCACTGCCCCTGGACCTCCACTGGCCCACCTTGAAAAACACAGGAAAACAGAGGAGGATGCTTTTCCAGACGTCGGCTCAGCACTCGATAAACAGGCCCCATAGACCCCAGTGCCTTGGACGTGCGGCTAGGGGGCGGGCCACATGCTGGGGGAGGCTTGGGGGACACAGGTCTCTGGTGGAGCTGGGGCAGTAACCTCTGTTAGTGGGAAAAAGGGAAGAGAAGCTGAGTTCCACCTTTCCCTCCTCACACATTCCATCTGCAGCTTCCTGCTGAGTAAGATGTGATACTGGGCAACAGCAAATCAAACTTGACCCAAGTGCTTCTCCCCAGGGGATATGAGGAAGGGCCCCTGCTGTGCTGCAGACCCACTGGCCAGAGAGCACCCTGGGTCCTTCTGAGCTCAGAGATACAGATGTGGGCTTTTTTATTTTCCAGTGACTTTGCAAATGAAAGATCAGACCTTAAAGGTGACACTGACACTGAAGAAAGTACACTGGGGGCCAGGAGCCTCAGGGGAGCCAGGAGACACGGGGGATGGGAGATTCAGGGGGCGGGAAGACTCAGGGGACAGGGAGACTTGGGGGGTTAGGGAGACTTGGAGCCAGGGAAACCTGGGGGGCAGGAGACTCGGGGGGCTGGAAGACTCAGGGATGGGATAGTCAAAAGGCCAGGAGACTCAGGGGCTGGGAGACTCAGGGCTGAGAGACTCAGGGGGCTGAGAGACTTGGGGGAATGGGAGACTCAGGGGGCTGGGAGACTCGGGGGGATGGGCATCCCAGCCTGACAAAGACTGCTCACAGTTCTTCTGGCCTTCAATCCACGGGCCTCTAACATCAGACCGTGTAAATACAGGACGGACATTTATCCAGGGAAGCTCCAAAGTCGTTTCTGAAGGACACGGTGACGTCTCTTCCTGTTTCCTTCAGAAGAATGGCCATGCCCAGTCATTGCCACAGCAATCCCCAAGACACACTCGCAAAGCCAGACTGGATGCCTGACGATGTTCCTCAGCCTGCAGTTCTTTTTGACAAGTTATTTCAAAGAACCGAGAGTGTGCATTAACGTAATGCAAAGACTCTCCCTCCTCAGCCTCGAGGGTAGCTGTGGCAAAGCCTTTTAGAAGCACCATCAGTGAGATGTGTGCTGGTCTCTCCCGGGCAGGAGATCCCTCACTGTTTTCTAGGAAGTGGATTCACTAAGGCATCAGAACACATTCTGATGGGGTTGTTCATTCCCACTTGGAAGTAGCCAGATGCAAGGATATAATTCTTTAGCTAAACATGTTCTCAAAATCAAAATAGCTGTTTGATGAAAGCACACAACCCATGATTCTGAACTGAATGGTAGAGTTGCCACTGCACGGTCTTCTCTGATCCCCAAGTTGCTCCACAGAAACCCAGCACCCCATGCTTCCCCAAGGTCCAGCACTGAGGCCCTGCACAGATATCTTCTCTGGCCCCCAGGCCGCTCCACGGAAACCCAGCACCCCATGCTTCGCCAAGGCCCAGCACTGAGGCCCTGCCCAGTACACTCTCCCTAGCTTCTCTCTTCCCGGCCTTGACATAAATTGCCATGGCTTCCTGTCCCTGCATGTCCCACTGTGCGCCACGTCCTGGCTTTTGACTGCAGTGGTCCTCTGAGTATGATGGGGCTGCCTCACTGGAGCTTTTCAAGAACACTAGTTCTGGCCCTGCCCTGGACAGCCTGGTGGTGGCACCTACATCTTCACACTCTGAAGTCGAGGAGCAAACTTGTCAATTTTAAGTTTGTTTTTCTTGGCTGACTCTTCTCTTCCTCAAATTATATCAATAAATGCTTTCTAGGTCTCTTACCTCAGTTAACACCCATCTTCTGTATGGCTATGTTAGAAAACTGTACAGGAAGAAAAACGTTTCTCAATATTTCCCCCTCTCGAAATCCTTAATTTGTACTCTTTTGTGGAATGCAAGCTTCCCAGTTCACTCTAATTAAAAAGCACTCCTCTGAGTCCAGGCGAGAGCCATCACCTTTGTGCTCTTCCTGGACAGACAGAGCATTTAGCCAATACCAGTTAAAATCCGTACACCACCAAAGACAGACGTCCAGGTGCCTGCACACCAGAGCCTCGGGGAGCACTTCCTCCCCCTTAACACCAGAGCCGCAGAAGCACTTCCTCTTCAACACCAGAGTCCCAGGAGCACTTCCTCAACACCACAGCCCTGGGGAGCACTTCTTCCTTAACACCAGAGCCCTGGGAGCACTTCCTCCTCAACACCAGAGCCCCAGGAGCACCTCCCTCTCCTCAACCCCACAGCCCCAGGAGCACTTCCCCCTTCTCAACCCCACAGCCCCAGAAGCACTTCCCCCTCCTCAACCCCACAGCCCCAGGAGCACTTCCTCCTCAACACCAGAGCCCCAGGGAGTACTTCCTCCTTAACACGAGCCCTGGGAGCACTTCCTCCTCAACACCAGAGCCCCAGTGAGCACTTCCCCCTCCTCAACACCAGAGCCCCGGCGAGCACTTCCCCCTCCTCAACACCAGAGCCCCATGGAGCACTTTCCCCTCCACACCACCAGAGCCCCGGGGAGCACTTCCCCCTCCACACCACAAGAGCCCCGGGGAGCACTTCCCCCTCAACACCAGAGCCCTTGGAGCATTTCCCCCTCCTCCTCCTCAAACTAAAAGCAGCAAGAAAAGTGGCAAGGTGAGGTACACGCTCAGAACATTCTTTACACACAGGAAAATGGGAAGGTGAGGTACACGCTCAGGACATTCTCTACACGCAGGAAAATGGGAAGGTAAGGTACATGCTGAGGACATTCTCTACAGGCAGGAAAATGGGAAGGTGAGGTACACGCTCAGGACATTCTCTACACGCAGATAAATGGGAGGGTGACGTACACACTCAGAACATTCTGTACACACGGGAAAATGGGAATATTCTCTACACATGGGAAAATGGGAAGTTGATGTACAGGTTCAGGACATTCTCTACATGCAGGAAAATGGGAAGATGACGTACATGCTCAGGACATTCTCTACATGCGGAAAAATGGGAATATTCTCTACACGTGGGAAAATGGGAAGGTGTTGTATACACTCAAGACATTCTCTACACATGGGAAAATGCAAAGTTGATGTACACGCTCAGGACATTCTTTACACACAGGAAAATGAGAATATTCTCAACATGTGGGAAAACAGGAAGGTAAAGTACACACTCAGGACATTTTCCACACACGAGAAAATGGGAAGGTGATGTACATGCTCAGGACATTCTCTACACACAGGAAAATGGGAATATTCTCTACATGTGGGAAAGTGGGAAGGTGATATACACACTCAGGATATTCTCTACATGTGGGAAAATGGGAAGGTGAGTTACACTCAGGATAATGTGTGTACACCTGGATAATGTGAAGGTGAGATAGACTTAGGACCTTCTCTACATGCAGGAAAATCGGAAGGTGATGTACATGCTCACGACATTGTCTACACGTGGGAAAATGGGAATGTGACATACATGCTCAGGACATTATATGTGAGAAAATGGGATGGTGGCGTACACATTTAGGACATTCTCTACACACAAGAAGGTGGGAAGGTGATGTACACACTCAGGTCATTTGCTACATCGAAGAAAACACATCAGTGTCAAGTAAAGCAACAGAGGACATTACCAGAGTGACTTTTCCACAATTTTGGTCCTGAAAACCTCCTCCTGGTCCAGGTTCACCGTGCAGTAGCAATCCCTCATCTTGCTTGGCCCCGGGTAAGAGGGAAGGTTTTTGGCTTCACCTAAAAAGTAAAAGTGACATATATCACCAACAACATCAATGTGTTTGGTCCCCTGCTAATCGCAGACATTTCCAAACAACAGATTTAGTTCACAGCCACGTGCTGGCCTCTGCTTGTGTGCATTCACTAGTTCTCTATAGTCTTGGATTTTTGCCACAAGTCAAAATGTTGATGCACACACCACCTGTACTGCCGAAAGGCAGAGTGACACATACGCCACCCTCAAAAGCAAGCGGTGCAAGCAGGGGCCCGCCAGCCTAGGACTAAGGATTGCTGTGTCTTGTTTTGTTTTACCCACTTTAGTCCCTTTATTTTTTTTTTTAATTTTTCAACTGTGGTAAAACAGACATAAAATTTTCCATCTCCCCTGTTTGAGTGTACAAGGTAGTAGCATTAACCATGTTCACCGAGCTGGCAGCCCTTACCACCATCCTCTCCAGAACTCTCTCATCTCCCAGACAGCGACTCAGTCCCCATTAAACACTCACTCCCATCCCTCCCCTGCTGTCTCCCAGCATTAAACACTTGCTTCCCAAACCCCCATCCCCCCCGAGTCCTGCTGTCTGCCAGCAGCCCTCACCCCACTTTCTGTCTCTGTGGATCTGACTGCTCTAGGGCCTCATGTCAGTGGGATTCACAGGATGCCTCCTTTCAGCCCAGCTTATTTCACTCAGCAAATGTCCTCCAGGTGGTCCCTGCTGTGACCTCCAACCGGATTCCCTTCTCTTTTAAGGCTGAATAATATTCCATTGTGCAGAGGAATCTCGTTTTGCTTACTAATTTATCCATTGAGTCCTCTCGTCCCAGGGAGGGCCCAGGACTGTACCCAGGGTGCCTGCCCCTCGTCCAGGGAGGGCCCAGCACTGCTGCCCAGGGTGTCTGATCCTCATCCAGGGCTAGATGTTAAACCCTCCCAAATCACAGCCACATTCAATGTAATTTAAACATCAACCACAGGGAGGGCAAGTCTCTGGTGACAGCGGGAGGAGTCCTAGCAGGCGCCTGAGGTGCTTACTGGTGGCCTGGCCCTGACGACAGCTGAAACGGGACTCACCAGAGGCTGCTTCCCTGGGGCACATTTTGTTGTCACCATGGGGGGTGCTGCTGGCATCCAGTGGGCACAGTGCAGGGTGCTGTTCAGTGTCCCGCTGCACACTGTTCCCCAGGGCAAACGGCAGTCCGCCCAAAACCCAACATTGCTCCTCAGGAGAGAGCTGTCCACCCAAAACACTAACAGTGTCCCTCAGAAGACAGCTGTCCCCCCAAAACCCAACAGTGCCCCTCAGAAGAGAGCTGTCCACCCGAAACCCAACAGTGCCCCTCAGGAGAGAGCTGTCCACCCGAAACCCAACAGTGCCCCTCAGAAGAGAGCCGTCTACCCGAAACCCAACAGTGCCCCTCAGGAGAGAGCTGTCCACCCAAAACCCTAACAGTGTCCCTCAGAAGAGAGCTGTCCACCCAAAACCCTAAGTGTCCCTCAGAAGAGAGCTGTCCACCCAAAACCCTAACAGTGTCCCTCAGAAGAGAGCTGTCCACCCAAAACCCAACAGTGCCCCTCAAGAGAGAGCTGTCTACCCGAAACCCAACAGTGCCCCTCAGGAGAGAGCCGTTCCCCCAAAACCCTAACAGTGTCCCTCAGAAGAGAGCTGTCCACCCGAAACCCAACAGTGCCCCTCAGGAGAGAGCTGTCTACCCGAAACCCAACAGTGCCCCTCAGGAGAGACCTGTCTACCCGAAACCCAACAGTGTCCCTCAGAAGAGAGCTGTCCGCCCGAAACCCAACAGTGCCCCTCAGGAGAGAGCTGTTCCCCCAAAACCCTAACAGTGCCCCTCCGGAGAGAGCCGTTTTCCTAAAACCCAATAGTGTCTCACGGCATAGGGCCGTCCACCTGAAACCCAACTCCTGGTGCAAATGACCCTCCCCTCACGCTTGGTGCAGAGGCTGTTGGCAATGGGCCACGGAGGAGATGCTGCCACATCATGTCAGAGCCTCACCCGTCCCGAGACCCAAGTGATCCCCAAACATCCACGGAGACCTGGCCTTGGAGCCAGGTCAGCCAGAAGCTGCTCCACGCCTGGCCTCCCCGCAGCTGCCCGACCTCCCGACGCGGAGTGACCCTCGAGGCCGCGCCAAGCCACGCAGCACTCCGGAAACGCCGCCCGCGGACCCGGCCACAGCCACAGCACGCACACTCGCGGTTCCGACTCCTGCGACTCCAGCGGGGCTACAATGTTCCACTCCGGGGTGAACGGAGCGGGAGCGCCGCCTCGAGAATACCCTGAGCCACAGACTCGGAACCCTGTGAGCGGGTTCTGACTGCGCTCACTCGTGATATAAACACGTAATAAAACACGGGAAAGACGCGCCTGGAAAACAGAGACCTCTTCATCACAGAGGCGCGTCCTACCGGTTCAAACTCGAAATTTTACTGACGGCTGAGAACACCGAAGGGAATAACGAGGAAAGAGGGAAAGGAAAGGCAGGCTGAAACGAAGGAACGAAGCCGCCCTTCTGAGTGCACAAAGGAGCAGAGAGAGGGGCACCGCAAGGAGACCCTCAGCACCCTTTCCCCGCGCAGCACAGCCGGAAACCCTCAGCACCCTTTCCCCGCGCAGCACAGCCGGAAACCCTCAGGCCCCGCGTTCCCCGC